ATTTAGCAATAGTTTAGTTTTAAAATGATATTATCAATGTGATTTATTCAATGTATAGTGTAGGAAATATTACAATCCTATAGGATAGTTATCTTACAAGAGGGAAATTACAGAGTTTTTATAACTTTCACTATCTTTACAATCTCAAAAGACTTTGGAATAAATCAGATAAATCAATCTTTCATCATAAAAGATCGAGGAAGGATCACTATAACTAAAGGGGCTTACAAAAATAAATACAACATGATAATTAAAATGAAGGCTTTGTCTTTACAACATTTCTATTTTAACTATTCTAATTATTCTTGATTCTTGTTTTCTTCTCTTTAGATTTTCATTTGTTCTTCTTGGAATTCTTCTTTGGATTTCACATAGGTTATTCTTTTCGCTATTTGGTTAGTAAGCCTCATGCACTAGTTGATCTAGAATTCCGATAGTTAATTCGTTTAAAGTTATGAGTTTGCTGCGCCAATTTTGTCAATCTACTATTTAGCCCATGATATTTGCCCAGACCTATTTTATGCATACCAGGCATAAATATCTAACCAAAAATATAATATAAGTACATAATAATAACAATAAAACAATAAACAAAATAAAGTAAAAAAAATATCCTCATTCTGATATTTCATCCCCTGAGTGGCCATCACATATCCTATATGAGATCAGTACTCCAGGAAGGATAGCTCTACTCACTGGTATCGAACCCGGGTTACTCTGCTGCCAGAGTGAATAACCTAACCAGTAGTCTATATCAGAATGATTACCAAATTTCGAAAATTAACTTCTTAAAAATGTTATTTGTATAACTTGATTATCCAATCATAAAATTTTTCTTCATGTAATCTAAACTTTAAATTAAATATTCGATTATCTTCGTAAAATAATTTTTGATCTAAAATTTTAAAACTTTTTAAAAAAAAAATTAATAAAACACTTTTAAAAATGTCTCGTAGCCAAAAAGGAAACAATAACCGATATCCAAACTGTCAAAAGTAAGAATTAAAATAAATAAATAAATTAATAATAATAACTAATATAATTTCATATAATAGTAAAAATTTAGATAAAGATAAACAAAAAGAAGTAGTTGAGAATGTTGAAGACGTTGAAAGTGTAGAGAACGTAGAGGAAGACTGGTAAATATAATAATAATAAATATAATAATAATAAATTTTTAAATACTATAATTTAATATAATAAAATATTAAAAATAATTAAATTTAATAGGTGGAGTAGATAGGTTTCAGAGAAAAATGAGAAGAATATGATGTTTTGGTTGGAAGAAAAGAATAGAAGATTGAAGAAGACATTGGATGAAGTAGAGAATTGGGAGAATTTAGATTGGAAGTGTTAAGAGGGATGTTGAAAGATGAACAAAGAAGATATGAGAGATTGGATATAAAAAAGAGGAAATTTGAGTTGGGGTACAATGTATTGAGGAATAATATGATTGAGGTGTTAAGTACTATAGATAGAAGAAAAGAAAGAGGTAGAGAGAGACAAAGAATGAGAGAAAGATACAATTTATCAGAATTTGGTAAAGAAGTAAATGATGAAGATGATGATGATGAAGAATATAAAAGTGAAGAAGAAGAAGAGGAAGAAGAAGAAGAAGATTATGAAGTTTGGTTAGATGATAAGTTACGAAAATATGAGGCGATATTAGAAGAAGAGTCGGCAAGTGAAGAAGAAGAAAGTAGTTTTCCAATGGTGTTACAAAAGGAGATTGGTGAGAGTAGTACGTGGTATTGGGTGGAGAATATAGATGAGAATTATATGCAGAAGGATTAGATTTCATTTCTTTGTTTCTTTGTTTTACTGGTTATATATATCTTAATAAATTTTATCTTTTAGTATTTTTCTTTTCATAAATCTTCTTTTAAATTGTATTTAAAATCAAACTCAAAACTAATTTAAATTTAAATCCTCAAAATCTTATTAATAAAAAAAATAATATTACGAAAAAAAAAAATTTAAATTATAATCTTTATATATAATTCTTCTAGAATCATATTTAAGATTAATACTGAATATATTATACTTCATATATATTATATATATATTAAATTAAATAATTAAATTTATAAAATAATTAATAACTTATCTTTAATTTCAGAAATATTACTTCATCGTATCGATCATTTTAGTAATTAAACTTGATTTCTAATACATTGAAATCTTATTATCAATTTCGTAAGATTTATTCAGTTAATGAATAATTCTTTTTCGTTCAAATACTATCTTTTTATATTAAGTTAAAGTTTAAATCTCTTGTCGTCTAATATTCTTCTAGATTCAAGATTGTAAAACTTAATTAATTAGTGCTCTAATTTATTTCATTTGGATATAACAATTTAGTCTCAAATGTTTATATCTTTAAATCTTTATGGATTTTTATCCCGGTTTGTAAATTATCCAAGTGCAATGACACTTTTTTATTTACGTGTTCCAATTCAAAGTATAATGAGATCAATCAATTTTCTTTATTTATTAATTTGTTTGTGCTTTAATCGATTTTATTTTTGCTTTATCCAGTTCTTTCAACCTTTTATAAATTATTCAAGGTAATCTATTAATGTGATCCCTCTTATACATTTCTGAAATATCTTTTAAGTAGGTTTAGTTTAATTTTCAGATACGATCTTAAAATATTTATTCTTAAAAACTATTGTAGACTTCCATTATTAGCATAATGAATACCATCAATTATTCATTAGTAGTCTTCTTTCGAGTTAGTTCATATATATTCGTTTCATCATACTGAAATGGTTTCTTGTAGATACTTCGACCATAATAATATTAAATTGTAAATGTCTACTGCTATTGTAAACTTTTGATCTGATAAAATTTCAGATATAATATAAGATATAGCTTTATAAATTTCACTTCCCGAATTATTTTCATCTTTCTTTTTAGTTATTCTTATTCAAATTCCTTTCAGTGATTTTCTAATTTATTAATAAGTATCCATTCAAATATCTTCATATGCTGTGCCTTTAAATTAAATTTCTTTAATACAATTATCAATGTATTTTATTTCTACTTATCGATTCTTGTATAAGTTAATATTTATATCATTATATCAACTATGACTTCTTATTATTATTCTTATTTTCTTGAAATTTTGTGTTCATTTAATTAACTATATATATAATATGATTAATGTAATATATTTTAACTTAACAATATATAGTTTATTTAATTAAAATATAAAAATACAATTTCATTGTTAATGATGATCATTATGTCGTCATATTATATTGTCTATTATTAAAATAGTAAATTTGACTGATTCATATCCTTTTTCGCTCTTAACCCTTTCTTTCAATTTCCTTAAGTAGAATAATACTTCTTTAATAATTTTCTATTTATAGGAGTTTTTATTATTTTTCTATCGATGGATCGTAACTTGTATACTTCTTTTTCCAATACTTTATGAACCACGAAAGGACCCTTCCACTTCGGATGAAGTTTATGGCTTTTTAAATATTGTTGAGAAGCCTTATAGACTAATACTAAGTCACCCTTTTTAAATTTTTCTATATGCTGTAAGTCTTGATCATGTCTTCTTTTAGCACTTTCTTGTGCTTTTTCGACTCTTCTAACAGCATTATTTCTTACTTTAGGTAGTATTTCAACTAATTCAAAAATTCTTTGAAGAAATGTTCCTTCTAACAATTTTTCATTTTCATCAGGATGAAAAGGAAATCGGGCTTCTCTTCCATATACTAAGAAGAATGGAGTTATCTTTGTTGTACTTTGTTTAGCGGTTCTATAGGCAAAGAGT